ATTCAACACCCTGTATATTAATGAATTATTAAATTAAAAAAAAGTTTCTCTTTCGAATGATATACGGATGTCCTATAACTAGGACTGACAGTTTTGCCGTGATTTAAAATTTTGTTAAACGGAAATCGATTTCAAATATTTATAATTATTGTTACTTTCGATTTTTAATCCCATCATATTGACATATTGTTATAATCGAGTGCAGTTGTAAATACATTTTTTTTGTAAATAAATTAAAATTTTTATGTCTTTGGATTTGTATTAGTTGGGATTAGGATAATTAGTAATAAAATATTATGAAAAGAAAATAAAAAAAATTATTGAAAATCTGATGTTTTTTAGATTTCCTACGATTCATCAAGTGAAAGGCAACTGCGCAGAGGTTACAGTTTTCAAAATGACGTAGATATTAACGGTATGTTTAATTTTTTGAATTATTTTAAGTATTAAAATAAGTTTAATATTTAAATAAGAATAAAACTGTACAATATATTTATTTCTTTGAAGTCATAATAATAGATGTACCTATAACTTACTGTGTGCTTGCGAGCACTCACTCTTTTTTTGAAAAGAATTAAATACATAACGAAACAGAAAGAATTTTAATAAGACAAATAATACAAAATAATACAAAATCAATGATGAACATAAATAATATAAAATAATCCAAAACTTACCATAAGGTATGTAAGAGATGTTCAAATTGCTTGCCATCTTTTTTTTTTATTGAAAAAGTTTACCGCATCCACCATAAGGTGACTAGCAGGAATACAGTGTAGGTGTAGGATTCTAATAGTTTAAATTTTATAATATAATCCTATACATTTTAAATATTTTCCCAAATTAACATAATTAAAGTCTGTACCTAAGAGTTTATTGATGTTGTTTGGAATATTGAACCTGTTGCGTTAATTTACAAAAAGTGGACAGTCAATTAAAAAATGTTTAACACTGTTTGTTTCGTCACAATTGTCACATTTAGGGGGATTATCTCTGGTAAAAAGGTACGAATGCATATATCTTGTATGGCCTAAACGTAGACGAGTAATGATGGTTTGCAGTTTTCGTTTTCGAGTTCTAGGTAGCCATGGATAAACATTGTTTTTAATTTTCCGTAGTTTTGTCTGTGAATAATTCCATTCTTGATTCCACTTACACGTAATCAAATTTTTAATGACGTTTTTATATCACCCGGGGGATTTCGACACTCCGTTACATCTGTTTCGACACTTTTCGACACTTTACGTGCGCACTGGTCTGCAACTTCGTTTCCGTCAATACCAATATGAGATGGGATTCATATGAAGGTAATGCGTCTGGAATTTCCTTCAGCTTGCTTGCTTTCAGTTTAGATTTTACCATTTTTTCTGTAACAAATCATACATATGATTTAAGGTTTGTAAAACACCAAGGGAATCACTTAGAATCAAGCATTTTGGTATTTTATTATTGTTGATTTTGGAATGATTTGGAATGAAATTGAATACAAAGAAGACAAAAACGATGGTCATCAGTAAGCACCAAAACAGAAGGGTGAAGGTCAATGTCGACGGAACAGATCTGGAAAGAGTAACAAGAACAACGTACCTTGGAAGTAATCTTGATGAAACTTGGGACCACTCACTAGAGATAAAAATTCGCCTGGAAAAGGCACGTACAATGTTTTACAAAATGCAAAAAGTTCTATGCAACAGCCAGCTGATCATCTCATTGAGAACTAGAATACTTAAGTGCTATGTTTTCTCCACCTTGCTCTATGGTGTTGAAGCCTGGACAATGACAGAAGCAACACAAAAAAGAATCCAAGCATTTGAACTCTGGTGTTACCGTAAAATGCTCAGAATATCCTACATGAGCCATACGACAAATGCGGAAGTCTTGCGGAGGATGAATAAGGAAAGAGAGCTTATGTTTATAATAAAAGAACGGAAAACACAATATTTTGGTCACATCATAAGAAATCAAAAGTATGAACTGCTCCAACTTATAATCGAAGGCAAAGTCAATAGCAAAAAAAAACCAGGAAGAAGACGCAACTCTTGGCTTAAAAACCTACGGCAATGGACGAACATGACCTCCATAGAACTATTCAGGGCTGCTACAAATAAGATTAAATGGGCAAATGTAATGGCCAACGTCCTTAAGGATAAGGCACCGTAAGAAGATTATTGTTGATATGTTCAAGAGCTTTAAGTATTGCATAAAGTTCAGCAGAAAGATGCTGAAATATTTGGGCAGTCTGAGTTGAAATTGATTATTAGACGTTATATATGCAGCACCAACTCCTGTATTGCATTTGGATGCATCTGTAAATATCCTACAGGAATTTTCTACATGTTTGTTTATTATTGAATTGAGGTTATTTTTAATAACAGCCGGGTTTGTAGAATGCTTATTAAATACAGTAAGATTATAATTTATTTCGCGGATATTGGTACACCAAGGTGGAGGATGGTTCAAATTTGCTTGCCATCTTGTGCAATACAACAAGCGATTATATCTTCGAATGATTTATTTGCATAATTTAACATAGCAGGAGATCGTCTGGCTAATTGGTCTTTACCAAAGCCATCTAATTAAATAAAAAAAAAACATAGCAGGAGTTATTGAAGCAAACGCGTTTGTAACTCTTAATTTCATGTCATCTCTAGTAGTAGGAGGTGTAGCATATATAATATTTTTAATATAACCCCAAATAAAAAAATCCATCTTGGTTAGTCCTGGTGACCTAGGGGCCAATTATATGAACCACCTCTACCTATCTATCTGTTTGTAAATTTTCTGTTAAAGTAGTTCCTAACATCACGTGAGAAAAGAGCAGGAGCTCCGTCCTACTAGAGCTACATTTTTGTTCGTAGGCTAAGTGGAAGGTTCTCAAGCAGTGTCCAAAAATCTTGTTTTAAAAAAATTTAAGAAATTTCTCCCATGTCCCATTAACAGATGCCCGTCAAAAAAATATGGACCGATAACGTACTCGCCCAAAATGCCGCCTCAAACATTAATACTCCATCGGTGTTGGCGGTCAATAGTAGGTACGAAATAAATGTTTTTTTTTTGTATCATAATAATGAAAATTATGCATTTTTTCAAGCCCTTTTCTCTGAATCTATATCCGAATATAGGTCTCTCCTAATTCTCGTCATTTATCCCTGATGTTGTTTGTATGTAAGTCGATTCGTCTGTAAATAATACATTTAAAAAAAATCAGGATCTTTCCAAACTTTATCTAAAGTCCATAAACACAAATTTAAACGGTTACCATAATCTTGTTCTGTCAAATGCCGGTGAAGTTAAATGTGATACGGATGAAAGTGTCTTAAGTATTCTACTTACACTAGTTTGACTAATTTCTAATTCACCCGAAATTTTTCTTGTACCAATATTTGGGTGGTCCGTAATAGAAAGCAGGACATTAAGTTCGTTAACGTTGTCACCAACAACTGATTAATTTTTATAGGCAATATTACCAGTAGCACGGAATCTATTAAGCAATCTCGCCAAAACTTCCTTTTGTGGGTGTCTTCTATCAGGATACTTTTGAGCATAAACTTTAGAAGCTAAGGAACAATTTTCTTAACATTCTCCAATGCAAAGTACCATGTCGGCCCTTTCATGGATAGCGTAATTCTGCATTTTTAGGAACAATGAAAGTTAAATTTTTCACACGAATGTTTATATTTTGACAATTACCAGACCGTAATGTCAGAAAATGACAATGTTATACAATGACATTTACTAACTATATCTTTTGTTTTAAAATCAATATACCGATGAAGAGTTTAAATAATTGGAAATTACGCAAAAACTATAAGACTTAAGTGTAGGACATCTTTATACCATTTAAAAGAGGAAACTTTTTTTAGTATTACGATTAATTAATATCCATGGTGTTCCATTTAAAATAAGCCTCATATTCGATATTGAATAATCCAAAATTGAAACTAGGTTTTAAACACCTGTAAATAAATGTTTAATAATCAATAATGGAATAAATTTAACCATTACTCAACTATTTTGCTGTAAGAGAAAATTTGTTATAATTGCTTAAAGTGAATTAGTCTTCTTTAAAAAAAAATTGTTTGCTTATAATGTAGTAAGTTGTGGTTTATTTTGTATTATTTAGGTATGTTCATTTTGTATTATTTTGTATTATTTGTTTTATTAAAATTCTTTCTGATTCGTTGTGTATCAGCAAGTAAAACTATAAAGAATACACATTTGTTTACAACTATGTTGGTTTCATTTATAACAAATATGTCAAAATGGTCGTCAAAATCTATCAGTCCTAGTTGTAGGCAATCCATACACCATTTGAAAACGGAAATTTTTTTAAATTTAATAATTCATTAATATACAGGGTGTTCCATTTAAAATAAGCCTTATATTACACATTGAATAATCCAACAATAAAACTGCAAATTTTGGACACCCTGTAAATAAATGTTTAATAATTAATCATGAAATACATTTAACCAATATCCAACTATTTAGAGGTATAACCAATTTTATTAGAATTTCTTAAATACGTTAAGAATGAGTCTTCGTTTAAAGCTTTATATTTTAAGAATATTCCACATAACTCGGAACACTCTTTACATAGGTATAGGGAGGTCTTATGAAACTATACCTTATTTTTTTGACGACAATTAGAAAATGCAATAAAAAATATAACTTTGATACGCCACACTTTATTGGGATGCCCTGTATATTTCAAAATAATTTTAAAATGTAGTCCTTATCAACCTTCAAACTATAAATTTAAATTTTTTTTAAAAATCTTTTACAGTTTCGCTGTAATCTTTCGTCTCGTTAGTCGTAACCCACCCTGTATATACATACTTTTGATGAACTTGCATAACTAACTGTAACTATATAATTGTAAAATTGGAACGATTTTCTTTGATGTTTTGATCTTCACATCGGAAGCCGTTTTAGTACAATATCTTTTTTATGATAATGAAAGGATTTACTTTAAGTTAATAATGTTAATACACACTCACAAAATCCAACCGTGCATGATGTTCCTTTGAAGATGCGATTTGCTCGCAGAGTATTTCCTTCCTGATCCTCTACAAGCACTCCTATACCAAGGTTTCTACCTCTTGACCAGGCTCTGGTGGCTGGTTTGACACTGAGATCTACCCATTGTGCTGTTTCTGATATGACTTTACTGTCAGATAGGCGTTTCTTAACTGAAATTAAAATATAACAAGTAAAATTATATTAAACTGCGTGTAATGTTTCTCATTCTTTTTATAGTTGTTGTTTACATCTTACCTCTCCTCTTTTTTAAAGATTTTGTGTACCAATATATAGATACTCTTAACAATTTTTCTTCCTCCGCAGAGTTAAAATTCTCAGAATCTGGTTTATTATTTGTTTTTGTATTATTTTCAGGGAGTCTATATAATCTTAACGTCGCTGTTGCGATGTTTGAATTTTTAGATTCGGAGAAAATATCAAAATTAAAGAAAAGATTCATAATATCGTCATCTTTCCATAGATCTTGGTCAGTATTTGCAGGGATTTCACCTAGAATCAAATTTTATAATTAATTAATTTTAATTATCTACGAGTAGATATTTAGTTGCCTTGCTTTCATCTATTAACTTCTCCGCATTCTGTTAAAATCAATATATTACCTAGTTTATGTTGACACATTTTGTTTATTTGGCGTTACTGGTCTGTATTAAATTGACAAAAAAAATACGAGTTAATTGTAAAAAAACGTTTAGTTCAATATATTTGAGTAATAACTAAAACTGGTGAATATTAGGGAAGGGAGATTATTGTTTTATTTCTAAAAGAAACGAACTTACAAGATGGATAAAAGCTGCGAATCTTTTCGGTGACTTGATCGTTAGATGAGATGTTAGGTAAGTTCCAAAACTTGGGTAAATCTTTCGTAATATTCACTGACACGTTAGGCAATTGATCCTCGGGTTTCCTTCCTATGTATTTTAAAATCGTATCTTTAAGCTCTTGAATACGGTTCTCCCTTGATCTGAAAATGATAAAATTATTGTTAAATTATAGTCTAAAGTTATATTATGACCAATTAATATTTTAACTCATGTACAATAAATTAATATAATTATTTTATAAGGAATAATATAAAGACTATTAATTGTTAAGTATTAACATTGTATCATTCTACATCTAGTACGCTAATTAAAAGATCAGTCGCGACACTATAGCATTTTCGTTTCACCCCCAATAATATAATACACCGAAAAAGATTTTTGAGTCTGTTTATAATATAATAATTATAATTGTTCTTTCGATTGATCTTGATTCCGCCTATAAACACGAGGCAACTTGATGACGAATTGTAAATTTTTATAAAAAATATTTTATAAAAAATGGGAAAATACTCCCACAATAACTTCTAGAACAAAAGGGAACAACTGTCCAAAAGAAATCAGAAAACTCATAGTAGAAAAAAAAGGAAGTTAAGAAAAAATGGCAGCAATACAGAGCTCCAGGAGATAAAACTAGTCTAAATAATGCTACACAAAAACTAAAAAGGGAGATACAGAATATGTCATAATTCATCAATTAATTATTTTTTAAATAATTTAACAGCTGACCAGAACACAGATTATTCGTTATGGAAGGCAACAAAAAGAATGAAGAAACCAATTATTCATTCTACTCCTATCAGGTTGGAAAACCGTAGCTGGGCTAGAAGTTACGAACAGAAAGCAGAACGATTGGCAGATCATTTAGAAAGCACGTTCAAACCCAACGACAATGATGGTGAAGAACTGAGATGGGAAGAACCATTCCAAACTGAATAAATAATAACGTTGACATCATTTAGAGAAGTATCAATAGAAATAAAAGAAAATATAAATCCTAAGAAAGCTCCAGGATATGATCTCATAACAAGACAACTATTAAAAAATCTACCAAGAAAAGCCATAGTTAAGCTGATACGCCTAATAAATGCTGCTTTTAAATTGAGATATGTTCCCAGACTCTGAAAAGTAGCCGAAGTCATTATGATCGCCAAACCAGGTAAACCTCCTAATAAAGTGACATCCTATCGACCAATATCATCAAAAGATGGCGGCGTGTGATACAACCATGTTAACGACTGTGTTAAATAAATTAAATAAAAATGAACTAATCGACATAATTGTGACGTTATTATATATTATAAGTACCAGTGACTGTTGCAAATCCACAAGTGATTACCTATATAAATAAAATTGGTGAATTTATAAACAGCAAGAGCGACAATAAATCTTATGATTTGGTAGATAACATAACCTGTTCTCACTGTGCACATTATCAGACAGGACCATTACCAACAAAAAGGAACTTGACGCTGTAAGTAAACTTACATCTCATCTAGAAAAACGGTGCCAAGAACAAGAAGATCTAATTTTTCTCCTAAAACAGTTAAAAGAGAATTCAGATTTACCAAAGATACATATAAAGCCATCTACTAGTACTATTACGAACTCCAAATTATAGGACCAATTTAAATATTGCCGAAAAAAAGAAGAACACAAACAAAACTTTATGAGCAGAGCAGCAAAAAGTGAACTGGTAATTACTCAGAAAAAACCTGACGTAAATAAACAAGGGTATTCCCAAACAATAACAAAAACAGATGTTTCGAAAGGACTGCTTTTTGAGCAAAACAGATTAAAAATGGATCAGTTCATTAATTTAGTACAGGAGGAAAAACCGACTAACGATGAAATACATATAAATGGGGCAGAAAATGATCAAGAATGGAAAACTATTAGGCCTAGGTGACATCAGTTTAACGGACCAAGAAAAATTATAGTAAGTAGCAATAGATATGGCGATGAGGTTAAGAGTGTTCCAAAAATTTCAACTCTACATGTTACAAGAATTAATAAAGAAACTACAACTGACTCTCTAACCGAGTTAATTAAGTGAATAGTGAATTTTCCTGAAGCAACATGTGAAATGATTCAATCAAAACATCCAACAATTTACTCATCGTTCAAAGTAAATATACAGGGAACTTCAACAAGGCCAAGAATCCCGAAGTTTGGCCTCACGGAGCTGTTGTAAGTCGTTTTTTTACCGCAAGAAAAAACAGACAGAGAAAACTTAGTTTTTGATCCAGATATTACATTATTAAATATTCCAAATGTTAGTCAGAAAACTAGTTTTAAACTGGATAAGTTAGAAGTATTCAATTCTCCTAATTTTGACAAAGTGAAAAAATGCTTCAACTTTCAATCAAAAAAGTTTTGGCTTACTTCATCAAAATATACAATGTATATAAACAAGCATTGAAAAACTAGAGTTCTTCCTGCAGTGCAAAGGTCTACATAATATATGTGTCTGATTATGGTTTAAAAAATGGATTTTCTCTGGCTTCATCTTTCTGCCATGACCAAGGAGAACATGAAGGGTCTTCAATTCATGTGAAAAGAGTGTGGTTTGGAAGGAACGTTCTAATATATGTTCTCAATCTGAGAAATATAATTTTGAAGTGAGTGCTCTTGAAATAGACTATTGCCGTTTTAATTGCGTTGTGTTGTGTATTTATCAGCCTGGAAGTGGCAGATAAATACACAGCTCTATTGATGTTTTTATGTCAAAACTGGATCTAATACTTGATAAGCTAGTCTCCGAAGGTAAGGCTATAATATTAACAGGTGATTTTAATATAGATTTCAAATCAAATGCACTAAGTAAGCAGAACTTGGTGAATGTTTTAGATTCTTGTGGCTTAACCGTAACTGTGAATGATTATACAAGAGTAACTGCAACTAGTAAACCTCAAATTGATTATACTGCTACAAACATAAATTACCCACAAAAAACAATGGTTGTGGAAGGTTTTATCTCTGATTATCGTTCGCAATTGTTCCAATGTAGCATTAACACAGACAATGATGCCTATATATTCATCCGTTCATATAATGAAAGGAACATAAATCATTTTGTACAAACCCTTGAGTCAACAAATTGGTCAGAGGTATTTAATACAATTTCTGCCGAGGATAAATCATTAGCTTTTTTAAATACTATCCAAAATTACTTTCGGTCCCATTTTCCACTACTTAAATGTAAACCTAAAAAATGTACACGTTCGAATTGGTTTACGCAGGAACTGTACAATTTAAGGGATCAGCTAAATCTTTTGGAAACGATCTGCCAACAAAATAGTAATCTTAGGCCAATCCTTCATTTGGCAAAGGCAGAATATTCAATTAAATTACAAGCAGCTAAAAGTAGTCACTTCATGAGACAGTTAAACGAATCATCAAATAAAATGAAATGTATTTGGCATTTAATAAACTTAACAGTCGGGAAACAGTCGTTATTTCCCAAAAAGATTATTTCTCGAGATGGCTTTCATTTTTTAAGAAAAGAAACCATTAACAAAAAGATAGATACCAATATTTTAAGCAACTTATATTCATTATTGTTAATTTTAGATTAACATGAATCTACTAATACAGACAATTTATCGTCAACAATAGTGTAGGAAAAATTTTATGGTCGGTATGGACCTTACGTGAGATGGAGTGAGAAACAGCTGTTTAAAAAGAGAGAGGTATATTAGGTACGCCCTTTATATCGCCGAATGGAAATATTAAAAAAGGGGAAATTCAACGTTGCCAAATTATTGGTTTTATTTGACCTGTTGTCTTTTTTGCATTTGAACAATGTTCTATCAAGAAGATAAAATGCTCAAGATAATCAAATTTGGGCGAAATTGATTTAAATGGCAGGTTACTGTTTTTTTATTGGGAATAAGCCAAAAGTTTTCTTTACAATAATTGTAATATAACATTTTGATTTCCATTTCGGAAATCGTTTTATATAAATAAAATTTATTAATGTTTCGTATTTTAAGTACGATTTCCGAACTAAAAATCTAAACATCAAAATAATTTCCCAATATGAAATAATAAACAATTAAACATGCATACAATAACCCCAAATTAAAAAATATTCATACACTAATTTATTTGGCAACGTCTAGTCTAGATAGTCGTTTGGCCACCGTTCGGTGGTTTGGTCAAAAGATCGAGTAACGAGAAGTAGAGGTGGGTCGTGCTAGTTTATCGTTAAGAGCGTAGGTGCAAAATTTCGGGTCAATGTTTTTTAAATGCATTCATTTTTTTCGAATCCTGAGAAAACTAATAAATATTTTTGAAAAATTAAACGCAGAATGAAACAATACATTATTACCGAGAGCTGAAAGTCCCTGAAAACTTCTATAATGTGTATTTTAATAAGTTATAGGGATGAAAAAAAAAAACAAAATTTAGTGTGATTTTTAATTTCAAATATCTCATTAAAAAAACTTTTTGTTTATTCTAAGGGACCTTCGGCCCTCGGTAATAATGTAATCTTTCATTCTGCATTTAAATTTTTCAAAAATATTTGTTAGTTTTCTCAGGATTCCAAATAAATTTTAATTTTTTTGAATGCTAAAAAGCATTTAAAAATTTTAATTTTTATAAACAAGTAACTATGATTGTTTAAAAGTAGTTTCAAGTAAGATAGTACCTACATAAACAAACATAACGGCTATTATCGTTTATGTGTATATCTTTTGAAGTGAAAGAAACTACCTAATGATATATTTATTATAACTTGAAAAATAAACTAAACAATCATCATCATCATATAACGGGGGTCCTACGGCGATTGCCGCTTCCCGCATTTCAGCCTCCATCTTTTCCTATCTCTTCAATCTCCCTCTTCTAAGCCTCTAGATTGCATTGTTTTTGTAATTGCTCTTCTCCAGGAATTTGGTGGTCTTCCCCTTTTCCTTCTTTCTGGCGGAACATACATTAAGGCTTTCTTTGGCCACCGCTCCTCCTCCATTCTCATCACGTGACCATACCATTGTAATTGCCTTCCTTGTATTCTATCTGAAAGAGTATCTCTAATTCCTGTACGGTTTCGTATTTCCTCATTCCTGATTCTTTCCATTCTCGATACTCGACATGACCGTCTAAGATAATCCATTTCCACAACGTCTACTTTATCTCG